GTTGTCGCACGTGTGGTATGCCAAGGATATCAAGATCGCTCTTCTTGCCGCCGACATCATTATCAATCAGTGGAAGTTTGATGATTATCACCTAGATATTTATGGGGCCATCGACAAGGCGCCGACGTACTCTACTGAATGTCAAGAAATCATCGCCTCCAAGGGTCTTCGAGGCAAGGTTACTCTTCGTGGTACTGCTGATCCGATGAAGGTTCTTGAAAACACCTGGCTTTTCCTCAACTCGTCACTGTCCGAAGGTCTGCCCTTGGCCCTAGGTGAAGCTGCTCTGACCGGTGCCCCCGTGGTTTGTACCGATGTTGGTGCGTCTCTTCGTGTTCTGAGCGACCCAGACGACTTCTCTCGTTACAGTGCCGTCGTCGCACCCAATGACGCCCACGCCCTCGCAAAAGCGCAAATCACCATGCTCGGCCTTTTGGGCGAATGGAGCAAGTATACTGATGACACTGAGCCGGCGCCTGTGCTCACTTCATCTCCAACATCGGAGGACGTTGCCAAGATCACCCGTCGCATGTACGAGAAGAGCGAATACCGCCGCAAACTCGGCATGATGACCCGCGATATCGTTCAGAAATCATTCAGTGGCGACCGGTACCTCCGTGAGCACGAGCAGATGTTGTGGATCGGCAAATCTGCCAAGATCATGGCCAACCGAGTTGGAGGAGCCATCACCGAGCCCACAGACATTGCAACTGCCATGCGCCAGACTCTCCCGATCGAAGAAGAAGTCATCACCATCCCTCGCAGCGCTGTGCACTCGTGGCGTTCATCTGCTGCATCGGGCATGTCGACGGTGTACAGTGAGGTTTCCAATTTCCCAATGCTCAATGGCTACCACCGCCCGTCCTCTATTCGCTCAGGTATAAGCGGTATCTCAACGGATACAGAGTCCTTCCTTCCTCTCCCCAGCAACGCCTCTCTCCCTGTGTTCGCTCCTCGTCAGACCCTAGGCTATCCTGGCACTCCTGACGGTCGTCTCTCACCTTCGGGGCGACTATCACCACTGCCAAACCCCAGGAATAGTGGTCGGCGATCCATGTCAACTGCTGGCCGCGAGCAGCTACGTGGTCTCGGACGTGAAGAATTGAACCCTTACCGCAATTCCGACGTCAGCACCATCATGAGAGACGAATTCCTTCAATCAAGCATCTACAAGAACATCGAAGGCAGCAGAAGCACCCCCAACATGATCTAAAACGAAAAGGAAAAAGGAAAAAGAAGCTGTCCCATCTAGTTCTCTTAGTTTCAAATCTCCCCCTTTTTTGCTTTTCTATTTTTGCATATCATATGACTGATTTTGGACTAAACCCCCGGTCTGCTAATCTGTCATTGTCTATACCAACCATATACCCCGAGATGATGAAGTGCTCGTTGTAAATACTTGCATCTTGCATATACTTTCCTTGACTCTGCATCAAACTTCATCATTACCACACTCATTGTTTTCCATCTTGGTTTGCTTTGATAGCATTGCATGGCTTCACGGATCTAAATTGGATTATTCCCCTATTAATACCTGATAGACTATTGCATTTTCTAGCGTGAATTTTTACTGAATTATAACTTTTCTCAAGTCCCTCAAGTCTCTTGCTGGTCTATGGTTCTAGAACGCAATTTAGAGGAATCTATGGCTCTTGTAAGACTCGTGTTCATTGTGTAAACTGTAAGTATTAATATCACCAGGTATATATATAACATTCTCGGATTCCAAGATACATCAATGCGCAAGAACTGGCACAGAACGTTTAACACTATCCCAGATCGAATCCTCAGGAACGGGATTTGCAATCTGGTGCCATTCGCCGTTGAATGCGTTGACGAGCCAGTTAGATAGACCTGCGATTCTTGTTAGTTTATTCACCGCAGACAGGACAAATCGGGACAAAGACGTACGCTCGTATATCATGAAATGCGCGTTGTGGAAGTAGATGTTATGATCGGAGTCGGGGTAGAAGTGCATGTCGTAGTTTTGTACATTGGACAAGTCCAGCTTGTCGACGAATGTTAAGGTGTTCTGGATATGTACATTGTCGTCTGAGGCGCCGTGTATAAGCAGGAAGCGCGTGGCTTCGGAGAGTGCAGACACGTTGGTGATGCTCGAGTTGTCGTAGCCGGAGGGGTTATGTTCTGGTGTATGCATGTATCGTTCTGTGTAGACCGAGTCTGGAGGGCTCCCGTGTCAGTTACCTGGTCCTGTTATTCATATTTGGGCGAGGGAGACTCACCATAAAACCGCCAGTCCGTGACGGGGGCGACGGCCATGCCATACTGGAATGTTTCACCGGCGTCTTGTTCGAGGACCTTTAGAGTCATGAATCCACCGTAGCTCCAGCCCCAGATTGCCATCCGCGTCTCGTCCACGTAGGGTTTCTTAGCCCACATTTTTGCGGTGGTGATCTGATCGTGCGCTTCGTAATATCCTAGATTTCCCCGGACTGCGCATCTCACTTTCCGTCCGCTGTATCCTGTGCCCCTGGCGTCGAGGGTGACAACAATATATCCTAGGTTGGAGGCGATATAAGATTGGAAGTCGATCGTGAACTTGCGGTCCACTCTCTGTGAAGTCGGGCCGTTATACAGCTGGAAGACAACGGGGTACTTCTTAGCAGGATTAAAGTGTGGTGGGCGGCGCTCAACGAGCTGAAGCGTGAAGCCATCAATGGTTACGTTTTGGTAGACTTCAGTGGGAAGAGCAAATGTTTCCACCATTGAAGCCAGTCTGGAGTTCTCCTCGATAGTTTTCTCGAACGTGATCTCGTCACCCTGGGTGTTGATGATGGCTTGCCATGGTACAGACGGCCCATTGTAGCTAAGCAACGCATATCCGGCGCCATCAGAGAAGGATACATCATAGAAGCCGGGTTTAGAGGTGTCGGTCAAGGGTTGAAGATTTGAACCGTCAAGCTGGACCCGGTATACGTGTCGCTGCGTCGGAGACTCCTTTGTAGCAACAAAGTAAACGATTCCCCTGCGCAAGTCCACGGCTGATGGTGCTTCCACGACTTCCCACTCTCCTGTGGTGAGCATGGTAGGATTCGGATTGTCAAGAGGCGTGAAGTAAGCTAGATGATCGTATCCATCATGGATGACTGTGTCGATGTAACCATCATCTGGTCGTCCGTTACTGGGGTCTGCGGGGATGAATTTGGTATAATGGGAAGGTTCAACCCAGCCACCGTCAAGATTGGCGATATCTTCGAATCTAACCAGCTTTCCTGTTCTCGCTTTCGTGTCAATCAGGAAGATCTTTACCGCGTCGCTTTCTCGGTTTGTGGCACGGACAATGACCTTTCCTTCAGAAGCCCATAACACCTCGATGATGATACGATCATCATCAGGGAAGTCGTCAGGAACGTTGACCGGGAATACCTCGTCTTTCTCGACATCATAGAACAGTAAGTTGACTACCGGGTTCGGAGACCCAGCTTTAGGGTACTTGATCTGCCTGACCTCTGGATAGTTCTCGAGTCCCGGAGGAGGTCGTTTCCCCGAGGGTCTTGACACGAAGTATTGGACCGGGAATTCCGGAACAGCGGACTCGTTGGTTCGAAGGAAGGCAACGTATTTCCCATCATTTGACCACCACGTTACGCTTTTGTCCGTAATGACTTCTTCTTCGTATACCCAATCGGGGACACCATAGAAAAGGTCCTCGCCCCCGTCCTTGGTAATGGAAACGACACTTTCCGAAGACAGTTTTCGCAAGTACATATTATTGTCTCTCACAAAAACTACAGCATCTGAACTCGGAGACCACAGCGCAAGTTGCACTCTTCCGTCCGGAACGCTGGGATCTAGTGGCTGAGCCGTTTGGGTCGCCACGTCAAAGATCCAATATTTTCCCGTGAACGAGTATCTCCAGTTCTTCTCATGGTTCGACATGAGTAACACCTTATTCAGGTCTGGACTAGGCCATGTGAAAGTCGGCATCAGGGTCTCCCCGTTGGCTTGTACGATAGCCTTATTCATTAAGATTCTACTGCTCTGACTGTCAACATCGTCGCCTTCCTGGCTGCGAATATCGTCAACCCGTAAATAGCCCTGTTTACCAACCTCTGCCCTCTGCACCAATAGCCCATCTTCCCCATCTGGGCCAGCAATCCATGAGATAGCGTGAGACCGAGGATTCCACGACCCTGTCAGGACTTGTTGGAGTGTCACAGGCCTTCCGGCGCTTGTGCTCCCCGAACCTGACTCCTCTTGCTGCAGGGTCTCAGAGGCTGTTTGGGGACTTGTCCGGCCTTGAGTCAAGAAGAGCACTAACGCCAGTACCCAACCTCCCAGACAGAGTATTACCAACGCCCAGAATATCTGCCGCGTGCGACTTCCCGAGCCAGGCTTCCTGGACGAGGTAGGAAGAAATGGCTCGTCGACATCTGCTTCCCCATCCTCCACATCGCGATATTTTGTCTCGTCCGTCACTCCCGATGTGCCATTCGCGAAATTGTTATGTTCGTTGTTCTCAAGGTAGGCTGTATCGACGGACAACCCTGAATCGGTGGAAGATCGGAACGATGCGCCGGACGTGGATCTTCGGCGGGTCATAGGGAAGAACTCCGCATTTTCAAGGTCGTCGGATCTCCCCATAATCATTGGCTCGTGTGGGGGAGCAATTCGAGAAGTCGCATGCAGCGAAAAGGTATGTGATAAGATAGCAAGGAGCGTCGGCGGGCGTACAGATAAGGCCAGATGGTTATCGAGGTCGGAGGAAAGCGGTGCTTGCGTTCACGACAAGAGACGTATCCATGCCCTCTCGTAACTGAATCATATATTTCAGTCTCTAATAGTGTCCCCTTCAATTTGGCCCCAGATGCAGAGTCAGCCTGGGCCCCAAAAGTTTGCCTGTTGGAGAAGGACACGAGAGCCGCGGCGTTGAATGGCAGAGGGAGTCTTGGCACCAAACTATTGAGGCCCGTTTCCAGTTAACCAGTACGGACTACGTACTGCTAGCAGTGGATCACTGTCCATACCCACTTTCAACAGGTAACCCAGCCTCTGGAGCTAAGCCACGTAATTATTCGAGAACCTGTAAAGAAGAAGAAAAAGCGGAAGTGGAAGAGGAAGAAAGCACATGAAGATACAAACGTCCCAACCAGAACTCCAACTAAGCCAAAATAATCGCAGCTACACAGTGGAAACTCTAGAGCAATACAAGCCTTTGCGTTCGTTCTCGTTATCCTCCGAGTCCCCTAATAGAATAATCGGCACAATCGTAGAATGCTATCGCAGAGTGGCTGTAAAAAGGCACGGCTGTCCCTTTACATTCAAGCATCTCTCGCAAACCTCTAATAAGTTCAGGGCCGCGTCATGTTCTAGACCGGGCTCCTTGTTCTCCATCCAGGAAAAAAGCCGATGCTTTATAGACGAGATCGTGCTTCTATCGCCCGGTAACTGTATCTACGCTGCAGTAAAAGTATCGAACTTCGGTTGCTCCATGGCGGATTCATCTCTCGCACCTTTCTCTTCCCTTGTAACCCGGCGTCTTGGCCTCCCGAAGGGGAATACCATCTTGTTCGATTGATAGAATAAGTTAAGCGAGGTAGATTTGACCATGGTGCTATTCTTAATAATGCTGTTAGAGGAGAGCCGTGGACGATAATCGTGCAGAGACTTCCACGGTGGTGTCGTCGTATCAGCGCTGGTCGTTCCACTTACAAATGGTCAAGGATGACGAGGCCCATAACTATCGACCGCTGAGAACACAGGTGGAGATAACTCAACAATTCCAGATGCGACCTGGGTTCCATTGGACGACTTCCAAGGTCGAAGATTCAGAGTGATAATACAAGCACAGAGTGCCAAAAAGGTGTACTCCGGAGTATAAATAAAAGATTCCTGCAAAGATCGTATTAGGACAAACAAGGGAGTATCAAAGACTAACTATTTCATTTGTCATTTTTATCTTTGGGCGCAATCGATCGGTCCATTTCCGCGTTATCCAACCATGGTACAGAGTACAGGAAAGGAAAGAGTTTGTATGTTGAGCGAATGTAACCGTTTTAGTTGCCTATTTTCCATCTGGATTGGGGAAAGTAGGACGGACCGAGTTCTCGCCCAAGATTCCGCGCATCAAGAATAGTAGCATGTCTATTGTCGATTGTTTGCAGATCCGCTCTCGAGGCGGGGCTACAGGGCTGAGCCACTCCCCGAGTCCAGTAGGAGACGACGCGTCAGGAGCATTGTTATTATTGGTGAACGAGAGCAAGAATAGGGGGCAAGATGGGCAACTGGCGAGGGAGGAGGACGAAATGGTGGTGCCTCCGCGCAAAGCTAAAATAACTTAACTCCAGTACACTACAACTTTATCTCTCCTTCTTTCGCCCCTCTCTGGCTCTTCCCACGTTAACTTCCATCCTAACCCCCCAACCTTGATTTTATTTTTTTTTCTTGTCCTTTTCCCCTCATCCATCGCATTGTATATACGGCCCTAGACGGATCCGTGCCAGCGAGGGGGATCTTCAAAGAACCTGGAAATACCAAGAACGTCCAAGACTGGTTGACAATCTCGGCATTGGCCCGAAAAACGTCATTGTCCTGCCTCAGACTCACACCCTGTTAGGCAGACGGATTTTGTTCTCGGCCAGGAACCACCGTTGCTTTTTTACTTTTGGGCCCCATTTTCTTAAATAGAAAACCCTATAAGGCTGATGGTCTTCTAATCTGGGGCTTACACTCTTCAAACAATCACATTCATCATGCATGCGGAGAATCCTCTACAGAGTCCCGCCGAAGTCAGCTCGGTCGGACCACAGTCAGAGTCCGCCCTACCTGGACAGATTCTCACGGGCAAACAAGAACATTGTCGGTTAATTCCCACTCTTGATAGATTTCCAAATGTGCCAATTAGCTAATCAAATGAATTACTGATGCACAGACCTTAAGCGCGAGCTCATCGCCCGCCAAGTGCAAAGCGAAATCGCCGAGCTGAACTCCCCGACGGCCCTCCAACGTTTCGGTGCCCCATTCAGATCAGAGTACGGAGAAGTTGCCCCGGTTGACTCAGAACTCCCCATCCTTCGATATATATTTGTTCATCATGTGCGCAATTTCCCCTTTCTCGACAAGGCCCGCGAGAAGGAGTTTTGGCAGGATAAATTGCAAGTGGTGAGTGTGGATCCATGTACCAGGGGGGGCAAGGATGAAGGACACTGACGGCACACATAGTTCCTAGAATCCTTCGCAAAGAAGCATGTTTCGTCGTCCGAAGACCGCCTAGAGGAGACAAAGCGCAGAAAATTGGCAAGGAAGTGTGAGAAACTCGTGGAGCTCATGATGGTATCAGGTATCCCAACGGCATCAGGGTACGAAGAAAGGATTCAATTCTCGGAAATCGAGGTCGTAGAGCGCGGTGCCAACGACAAGGGACTGTTGGTTAATATGCCGGAAGGGAATGCCATACACGGCTGGGATGTCAATGTGGCTGCCGTGAGAATTACTTCCGTCAGGCGAACTGTGCGGTATCATCAGCATGCTGTGAGCGGATAGTCCACCCTGAAAACTGAGGGATTTATCGCTAATGCTGGCGTTAGGAATTCATTCTTCGTGTTCGTCGGGAAGGAAAGTCGGACGTCTTTGTGGCCCGACGGTACGGTGACTTTGCGAAGCTCCACAGGAGGCTGCGCACCGAATTTCCCGGAAAGCCACTCCCAGTTCTTCCACGCAAGAACAAGTCCTCAACGTCGTCGAGCTTTTTCTCCTCAGCCGACGATGACGCCTCTTCGGTCTCCTCTTTATCGAGCCAGAGTGCAAGTACGCCGGATGAGGGACAAACTTCTCGAAACAGCTTAGCTCCCGGGAACCCTCTGCATCGCTCTGCGTCGCGGTCGTCCATGCGCTCATCTTTGGGAATATCCCCCAAGTCACCGAGACCTTCAGCGGAGACCTCTCGAGAGACTGTACTCTATAGAGAGGAACAACGGGTTTCGCTTCGAGCGTTCCTTCGCACTTTACTGCAGAATAAGCGGGCGGCAGAGTCAAAGGCTTTAGAGGAGTTTCTAACTGCAGAACCTATTACTCTGAATGAGGAAGAACTAATTGACATGCAACGAAGGAAGGAGGCAGATGCTATCAGGATAGAAGAGCAGAAGAAGTTCTATGAGATCGCTAGACAGCGCGCAGCAGAGCTTGATGTGTACATGGAAAACTTCCGTCGAGATATTGTAGAGAGCAGTAAGTGCAAACCCTCTACTTCTTCATACTCTCATGCTGACGGTAATGATCCCTTTGTAGATGGCCTGACGAAGCTGTTTGCGGAAATTAGAGAAAAGCCGACGGTAGAGGATCTCAGTCCTCAATATCAGAAGTTTGCAGAATGGCTTCGGATCGAGTATGTATTCTTTCCTCACTATGCTCAATATTGTTACGGTTGCTTACAAAGTCTAGGGTTGCCGCAACACTGTACCATTTGTTCTTGGCCGAGGACAACTCGCCTGAACTATTCGCACAGTTCAAGAGGATACACTCTCTTGTCCCATACACATTGATGAAGAATGTTATCCGAATTGCGAATCCTGCAGCCGTTATGTCTGGGGTTTTGGATCTTTTCCTTGCTCAGCCATTTGGCTCACGGTCTCTTCTGCAGCGGATCTTTTCCATGACTCTGAACGATGGCATCAAACAATTCCAAAAGGCCATTGACTCACTTGCTTCCAAGGTTGATGATGCTTCTCTCTGTCAGAAATTGAAGGCGTTCACAGACTCAGATGAGGAAACCAAGAATGAGATCCGTGCCGAGGCTGAGGATGAGGATATCGACATTCTCGTGGCAATTCTTCGGTCTGACCGCTTCTCTCCCGAACTCACACCGGAGCAATATGGTAATGTATTTAATGCCTATGTCGCCTGGAACCAGGCGGTGGAGAGTGTCGATGCAGAAATGCGTGAAGGTGCACAGTGGTTTGCAAACATGAAGCAGCTACTTAAACTCTACACACGGCAGCGTGACAAGGCCATGATGCTCAGCATCGTTGAAGAACCAGTTACCCTCCAACTCTTCCGCGACTTATTCACAATATTCTACGAGCCGCTAGTGCGCGTTTACAAGTCGGCAAATGTTTACAATAGTATCACTGATTTCGCTCAATTTGCCGACGACGCCATACAGGTGGTTGAGAAATGTCAGCGACAAGACGTATCTGCAGATCCAAACCAAACGGTCCAGTCCTTCATCGATCTTTGCGAACGTCATCAAGCGAGCTTCTATAAGTTCGTTCACGAGGTACACCTTCATGACAATGGACTATTTGGCTCTCTGATGGGATGGATTGAAGATATACTTGATTTCCTACGCCACGGGCCTGTTGGTGGCAAGCTTGACATGAACGCCTTGCTTCACGGAGCTAAGGATGTTGGACAAATCGATAAAGATAAGGCTCTCGACGAGATCAATGCACTTATCAAATGGCATGAAGACCGCAAGCGGTGGCACCTGAATAAGACCAGGCAGAAGATGGCGGCGGAAGGAACCGGGAATGACCCCTTCCCGACATTTAAGGGAAGTGATTTCGGCTTAGACGAGGTATGTCAAAATTCAAGTAGTAATCGAATGGTGAAGTGAGATTCTAACCCTCCGCTAGGGCGACCTGGAAGACCTTGCCATCTCGGACGCAGAGTCTGATCCTAATGACGAGCTCGACGAGGAAGATGACCTTGACCCCATCTCTGCTGAACGACGACGACGGGTCAAGCAACAGGATCAACTCCGTCGCACGGCTGGCGAACCTGTTAAGCCTGAAGTCCAAGAGATTCTCAAATTAGCCGAATCGTTTGGAGTAATGTTACGGATGGTCCTTGCAGAATAGCCTGGCTACTGCTTTGCCGTGATACCCTAGATATTCTTTTCGGCAACTTTGTCATCATGGGTTTGTTGATTTCACAGCTGTTGTAGACAAAGAGGAGCATTTCTTGGCTGCGTGGCACTTGGTTGTATTGTTGTTGTTTTAATTCTGCATCACCTCATAGCATAATAGAGAAGACCTTTTAATGTTTCATATCAGTTTCTTTCTTTCTAGTGATTGACATGCTTATGTAGATGTTGGAACAAGACGTAGAACAAACTACTGCACTTAGGGGTTGGGAGCCGTGGTTGACAGCGGGCACTAAACCCCTCCGATCCACCTGCATCGTCACCGGCCGAAGTCGGTTTCCATAGCGACATAAGCATGCATAGCGGCGCATCTTATCATTTCTCCTTATCTTTCTACCTTCAACTGCTTACAGTACCACCACTGCTTCGCCCAAACCATGATATCCCCTCAGAAGAATAATAACGGAGCTGCATCGCCTCGCACCTCCGTCCCCTTGCGAGGTCTGTTCCGCGATGGTGTGTGGTGCTGCAACTGCAAAGAACGCCCCCCGGCGGTCAAATTACAGACTAAGAACCATGGCATAAATCATGGAAGATGGTGTAAATGCTCCTAGCCTCTTGCCCGTCTGCTCTAGGTAGTACCGAACCCGAATCATAGCACTAACAAACACTAGTCTACACCTGTCAACGACCCCAGCAGCAGCGCTGCAACTTCTTCCTCTGGGCAACTGACGCCGAAGCCCGCGAAAAACTCGCCATTCTATCAAACTCAAGAACAGAGCCGCAGAATATGCCCCAGACACCCACCAAAGCTTCCCGACATGAAGGAACAGGCCTTCTCACTCCACAGACCGATCGTCCACTGCGTCATGCCCCTGGGTCCGAGTCGAGGAATTTTCAGACCCCCTCCAAAAGCGCTAAGGCGCGCATGATGACAGAGGACTCCGATGGGTTCGAATGGGATGATACCATTGCGGACGAAGCCGCTACGGTGCAGCATAAGCCTCGCCAGCCGGACTTTGGGCAAGCTGCTGGTGGCTCGGATTTCCTCCCACGAAAGACGCCCCGGACAGATTCTTGTACCTCACCCAGTAAACGGAAGCTGTCTGATATGGAGAGCGCACCGTCCCTCACGCCTACGTCAGTGTTTTCTCCCCGGTCGACTGCGTGTCGACTTCCTCCGGCATCAGCTGAAATATCGGTGACTCCTACGCCGAGCAAATATAAGAATGCGCTATCTGCTGATTCTGCGGCAGATACGTCAGAGTTATCACTTCAGGCCTTGAGGATTCTGGAGAGCCATAACGTGGTCGTGCCCAGGAAAGCTCAGGAAGAGCTCACCGAGTTGTTAAACAGATATGACCTCAAAACCAGAGGCATAATTCGAGGACGAGACATCTCGCGATTTGCAATCAAGAAGAAAGATGAGGAGATTATGAAGCTCAATGAAAGGATTGTGATGCTAGAGTCGCAAAGGGAATTGAGTAAGAGCATGGCTAATGGTTCAGGGAGGCAGTAGTGCTTATTTTGGAATTGTGGACGGCATGGTAAGATACCCCAGCTTGCTTTTAGGCACTTTTTGTTTACATCTTCTTTCGGGTTTGTAAGTAAATTCTACTGTTTGGCTTAGAGCGATTGTTGCTAGCATTTATTTTTGTTGTCCAGAGCGGATAGATGCGCTCGGTTCACGCATCTTAGATCATATGGAAACAGCGATAGGCTCCTGATGCTAATGCTGGCTTTTCTTTTTTTGTTTTTGGTATCAAACCCTCGAGACAAATGTCAGTGAACCCCCGAACACACTGGAGCCTATGTAGCGTTGAACTATATAGATTGTAGATCTTATCAAGATCTATCAATGTCACGTGGTGATAAATCGCAAACTCCCAAAATCACAGCCCAAAATTAGCGGATCAGAAAAACACATTTCTACGAAGTCCACAATCCAAGCAAACGATGCCCTGTCGCCCGGTAGCCTAAGGAGTCTTTCAATAAATTCATAGCTCTCGACTATCAGACAATCTTCGTCCATGGAATCCACGACAGCCCCTAACGCCTCCAAAACGCCTAACAGCGACCTCCCCACCATGTTCCGACCCCCAGTGAACCGTGCAATGCGGGTTCTGGATCGCTCATTCTTCAAGAAGACGGTGCCCCTATCTGCCGCGACGGTTTTCAAGTCCTCCGATATCTCGAGGGTGCGCGGCCAGCTACAAAAGAGTCGGGATTTGCTGGCCGTTCCGAGAATTAGTTCGGTTCAGGACGTGAAGGTTAAGGATGAAGTGAAGAAATGCTTGTTGCTGAAGGAGGGTATTAAATATGATGGTTAGTCTTGCTGGCTGTGCCTTTTAGGGAGCCTGTGTGAGGGTTGGTGCTGATGTGTGGTAGATGCTACAACATGGTCGCCAACGATCAATGAGCTTGTGGAGAATGGTGCTGTTGGAATTGGACGGTATGATTTCGAATTGGACTACGATTACTGGCCTTATGGTAGGTACCACATTGAATGTATTTTTGAATGGGACTAGAGCTAATCCGCTATGGTCTAGCCGATATCATGAACGCAATTCTGCCGGAAGACATGCTTGAGGAGCTTCCTCAAGGGTTCACCCAGGTGGGCCATGTCTGTAAGTCCGCTCTCTCCAGTCTGCACTTGTTTCCCCTGATCTGACAAGACTTAGCTCATTTGAATCTCCGCGAACAATATACCCCTTATAAGTACCTTATTGCCCAGGTGTTGAAAGACAAGAACCCCACAATCCGGACAGTGATTAGAAAGACCGAAGATGTGGGCGCCCACAGCGAATTCCGCACGTTTCCCTTCGAGTTCTTGGCCGGCGACGAGGATATGAACGTTATCCAACATGAGCAGGGCTGTGAATTCCGATTTGACTACTCTCGTGTGTACTGGAACAGCCGTTTGGAGACCGAGCACCGTCGACTCGTGAACAAATTCCGCCCGGGTGAGATGGTTTGCGATGTGATGGCCGGTGTTGGCCCGTTCGCTGTCCCAGCGGGCAAAAAGAAGATTTTCGTTTGGGCCAATGACCTTAACCCGCACGGATATGAGGTCATGCAGGATGCTATTCGCAGGAACAAGGTCAACCAATTTGTGACCCCGTTTAACAAGGACGGAAGAGCGTTTATCCGCTGGTCTGCCAATGAGCTCTTGCAAACGGAGCCAGTGACTGTAACTATCCAAAAGAAACAAAGAAGGAGCGCCCAAAAAGAAGAGCAGGCCCCTGCCCCCCCAGCAGAGGTCTATCACCGACCCACTGTCTTTGGTCACTACGTGATGAACCTTCCGGCCAATGCTCTCGAGTTTCTTGATGCATTCCCTGGTGTCTATGCTGGCAAGGAATCCTTATTTGCGCCGCATACATCTACACCTCTTCCAATGGTACATGTGTATTGTTTCTCCGGTCATTCGGAAGATGAAGTGGACGACCACAAGGACATTTGCCAGCGCATCTCGGAACGAATTGGCTACACCATCACGCCGGAGGATCGAGTCGGGGGAAGTGGAAACGCAGAGCTGGAGCTGGCCATTCACAATGTCAGATTGGTTAGCCCCAACAAGCAAATGTTCTGCGCTAGTTTCCGTCTACCTAAGGAGGTCGCTTTCCGACAAGTATAATGCGGAAAGTTGCATATAAAGTCATCGCATTGCAGGAGGCGTTCGGGCCGTGAATAGATTATGGATAGACCAATAAATAGCCAATCTGACGTTGATACCCTTTCCGCTCAATATTTTACAATATAAGTACGAATACAACGTGAACTTTCCTTCGCCCATGTTGATATAGGTCTTATCTCTATCCAAAGGCGGTGACTTATATACCGCCTTTTACTGCCCATACAAAACTCCGCCCGCAAAGAGTTCTCCCAGTCCCGCATCAGAGTCAACACCCTGCCTCAACAGCTTCCAGCGTCTGGACTCTTGGAACATTCAACTCGACAGTCATCGAAACGAAAGGCCCATTGTATCAGTGCACCACGTGATATCACATACGGTACCAAAATGAGCGTCCAATTGCCACCCCCAACACATCGCAAGCGCGCCTTGCCCCAAGGCGAGCTCGAAGCCGCCTCGACTCTCAGACTAGGCGCGGACCAGAATACTCATACTTTGTCGCTTTCCGAAGCAAGACTCGTCATCAACAAAGTGCTGGAGAACAAGCGCAGGGGCGGAAAGAAATACGAGGAGCCGGAGTGAGTGCCGGAAGTCGACCGGTGGTCAACACAATACAGAGGAATACCATCATGCTCACAAGCGTCTTACAACTTAGGAACCTTACCAAGACCCTGGACTATCTGGAAGTATTTGCTCGATTCAAGGACGAGGAAAACATCAAGGCCGTCGAGCGACTGCTCAATTCGCATACGGAGTTGGAGATGTTCGAGCGGTCACAACTGGGTTAGTCACTTTTTGTCTTTTGCTTTTTCTTTTCCCCTGCTTGGCCTGTGGCTTCTGGCCTTCTATTTTTTGAGGTCCTTTCAGCCGAGCCGCTTTCTGCCGTTAATCTGCATGTACCCCGTTATAGTCTAACCAGGAGACAGGGAGTTTGTGCTGCGATAATGCCGAGGAAGCCAAGTCCCTCATCCCCAGTCTTCAACACAAAATCTCCGATGGCGATCTGCAAGAGCTCTTGGACGAGCTGACCAAGCTGCGGAATTTCACGGAGTAAATTTGTTATCGCCGTTTCTTATCGGACCATACTTCCTCTCCTTTCGCATCTTTTTTTTTTTACCTCATTTTTTTTTGGCTGGCTTTTTGTTGGTCTGTAGCATGGAGTTTTGGAGTTGAAGTTGACCCGGAAAGCATGTGATGTAAAAACTGCACGATTACCACATGAGGCAGATGATATAATAGACATCTATAAGAAGTGTTGGGGGTCGGGGATAAGGAAAGCAACGCTGACAGCCTGATAAGAAGCCGGGGGTTGCGTCGCGTTGGGGGAGAGATAGTGAGGTGACATCGCATGCATTCCTGAAGAGTCATAACCAGTTGTCCAGAGCTAGAAAAGCAAGCTAGCTAGCCTCGGGAGAGAAGAGATTTGATAATGATAAACTCCCGTCGAGACACTCATTGGTTCGACCAGAGGGTATCTGAAAGTTTGCGGTGCAGGTGTACGCATGCGATTCCGAGGCCTCATTGTCCCCCATAAATATTAAGTAATGAAATCTTGGCTCCTGCAAATGACAGGCAATACCTACAGTCCCGACTCGAACCTGGTGTCACCGCCCACGGCATACTCCGTACGCTGTGATGCATTTCCCGAACCCTATTTGGCCATATCAACGCTAGTCTACTTTTGGGAGGGGTTCCGAATGGATCCTTGTCCATGGGAGATTGTACGATGCTGTATCGGGACTGCAGCGGGCTGTATTCATTCGTATCGTAAATACACCTTTATATAGTAGTACTACGAAGTCGTATATACATCGTCGTCCATTGGTACGGAAGCTCATCCACTATCAATATCTACATGATGACAGAATGAGAGTATAACCCAGCCTGGTCTCTTCAAAGCGGGAGCTTATCATGTCACATATCCCTCGCTGGACTCTCCCCAAATGAGTATCTCATCGAAGTATGACGACAATGTCCCACAGCTCATGCATCCTTCATACTATATATCGCCGGCGAGATATTCCCCATCTGAAGCCCCGATTTGCACAGCATCGAGCACTTCTTGGCAGTGATTATTGTTCTCGAGAGATATCAGATCCCAGGGGTCCATTCCACTCTTTCACCACGACGCGGACGCCTTGGCTTTCTTTTCTCGGATGGCCATTGAACATATCACGCACAATGCGGACATCATCTATTGTGGTTTTGTACAGCTCCAGATCGAATTCTCTGAAAATTCTGGCGACTACCAGAAGTATTTCAGCCTTTGCGAGACTATTGCACGGGATGTTAGTGCACTGTATTAGAAGGATGTCCAAGGGAATAAATAGCACATACGGGATGCCGATGCACTGCCTTGACCCTTTGCTGAAGGCGACAAGGTACTTTTCGAGGTGTTTCCTTTGCATTGGATCCATCCATCGTTCTGGGATAAAACTGTGCGAATCGGGAAAGATGTCTTCGTTATGATGTACGAACAAACTCGTCATGCCAACCGGCACCTGGGATCGATGGTAAGCAGGGGTAGTCTCCAACAATACATCGTAGGAGAATAAGATAGGCTTACCCCAGGAGGAATGATCCAGTCTTTGTACCTCATGGGCTGATCTGGTGAGCTGCGTTGAAGTCGCGTTGCAACAGCGTTGGTGATTCTGCATATCGAAATGAGTATCCAGATAAAGCGACCTGATTGGAGAATTTCCCATACCTTAGACCCTCCAACATAACGGAAGTCTAGTATGATTAGCGACCGAATCCTGTCAAAGATTGCGGCTTGACATGGGGTTCCTACCAGGTAGGGCATTGCCTCATATTCCACCAAGGACGCCGTCCCATCGGGATCCAGCCGATTCAGCTCCTCGCGTAGTTTCTCAAGCTTTTCGGGATTATTTAGGAGGTAGAAAGTGATTGTGGCTAAATTTCTGGCAGTCGTTTCTCCGCCAGCTGCAATGACGGTGAAAACCTCTTGGCTTAAGCGATCAGCTGTCTTTTCTTCAGGTGGGAGCGTACTTTCTAGAAGAGCATGAAATAAGGTGCCTTTGGGTACAGTTGTTCTGCTACCAGTGGAAATGCTGTCCGAGCGTTGGCTATCAATGACCAGGTTAGCCAGGCGCATACTTTCATTTTTCTGGTCGATGACTGGCCCGATGTCGGGATTAATGCTCATGACGAGCCATCGTGGGAGTAGCTCAAAGAGACTAATGAACCAGCGGAATTGCTTGAATTGGATGCCGGCATGCACAATGGCCTGCATTGTTTTGGACCATTGCGGGCTGAAGTCAGGGTCATCAAGATAGTGAAAGGAGTCTCCCATGGTATATTCCACGACTACGTCTGTAGTAAACGCATTAAACGGATGATACATATGTAGTGGAGCCTGTCTATCCTTCCAGGCGCGCAATCCATGGCACAGTTTGTCGACCATGCCCCGGAGCATTGGCTCGAGTTGTCGGATTCGCTGTTGGGAGAAGAAAGGATTCATCGGTTGACGCCGTATCCGATGGCGCCGGTAGTCGACTGTACCAAATGCGGAAGCCGGTGCTCCAAACATCCCAGGCAGATGTAAAGACTTATCTCGCGGGGCATCTCGAGAGTACAGCGCTTCATAATATTCAGCATCGTCGATGTGTAGCTCGTACGGGCTGATTCGCACGATCGGGCCATATTTGCGATGCATCTCGGCGATCCGAAAAGTGTATTGACCTTCTAGGAATGAATCGTAGTAGAATTCATACCACATGGTAAGGGCGGCCAGTTTGGGTCCCGGGAAGTGAGCAATGGGTGAAAGCCATAGCCGCTGTAGAGCCAGCCAAAGCAGGTAGGCCGCACCTGCGACACTGAAGGAGACGATTACATGCCACCACACCATGGTCAGTCGAGTAGCGAACAGGAAGTATAAAAATCCAACGCAGCCCCGGTAGGTAAGAGGCAACCAGGAAATCCCATCTTATTTGGCGGTCCACAACACTTTCCAAGAGCTAGGGCCGTTCCCCCTCCGGAAATCCTCCATGACCTTCATGAATTTATACCGTTCGTGGCGCATCTAAACGAGCGGAAAAGAAACCCGAAGTATAGTATTGGGTGAGGAAGATGTGTTTTGACCTCTAACTGTTCCAGAAATGAACCGTTAGGCTCGGCCCACACCATCTTCCCGCTGCCCCAAGTCCAATAGATACTCTTCCACTGCGGGCGTGTCAGCCTCGCCTATATAGCCGAAGTCGATATCAACTTCTTTGGATTAAGGTGCATGGTACAAATTTCCCCTTGCTTCACCCAGAGAGCTTTGTGCTGCTCCTAGAAAAGCTGCCGCTAAGTAAAGGATTCGACCCATCTCTGGGACCAGGAGGGTGTCCAAAAGTATGCAGCCCAGTAGAAAAACGAGTTGATGAAGTCATATCTTCATATATGGCACAAGAGGATAAGATCCCCCTTCACTTCTTATTCATATTCACTTTGACCGAGCGAGACCTGAAGGCGACAAGCGTGGGCACAGAAGGCCATGGCCGGCGAGATGCGGATGAATTAATAACCACCAGGAGGGCATCGTTCAGCATATCGAACCTTTGTCATGTACACCAACAATGAAAGCTGTATGATGGTTAATGATGGAGTCAGGATCCTCAATCTGGAAAATCGTTCTACAGCTCGGTATGGATCATTCTCATCACAAGGAGTGTGTGCCATCTCCTAAGATAGTAGATGTCACTGAGAAGCCTAGTAACTCATCATCAAGGAGTGGCAAGCAGGCAAAATACTACTAGTACGTCGTAGGTACTAAACCACCATCAACTGGTCGCCTGTACAGCTGCGGGACATGAGCCAGGTAATATTCAAGTAACGTCACGTATAAGGAATGACGATGGGATATCGATATTCCGGGGCTATCCTCGATGTAGGCTAGTGCATATTGCCATCCCGGTTCGAGAAAGCCCGGAGTAACTATATCTACATGTAGCTAGCTGCTAGGGTGCTTAAATAGAAGCGATAAGGTGTACTAGTAGTACTACCTCCTCGCGTTTGATTGTACTGAGTCAGCCAATGGTCACCCATCTGACTCGTGACCCCATCTTGATGAATCATTGATTTCATCATGCGACAACTCCCGGGACTCTAGTATATAAAAATCATATTGTAATTTTTGCAAATATTTTTATCTTGAGAGGAAGCAAAAAAAAAAAAAAAAAAAAAAAAGTCAAAAGTCAAGAAAATAGAAAAAGAAAGTTCCGATCTATCGACTTCGAGTCTTCACCTCGCAATTATTAATAGCGTCGAGAAGGTCCCTAGCTCCGTCTCAGGATTTGGCGACGGAGTTATTACCATTTCTCCGTGCCAGGACTGACTGTTCGCCGCCGCAATGGTGCCCAATAGCCATCCACCAATGGACGGACACAGATTTGCTGACGAGAGGCACCCTCCATTCCAAGGATGGATTTCTTCCCCTTCCTCCCCGTGCAGCAAGCGGCTAACCCACATGGGGCTTAAGAAAAGGTGTGGGGAAAAGCCGCAGAGCTGCAGGGCCGATCCCCGTTGCCGGTTTCGCACTAAGCCGATTCTCTCTGAATACAGCGGCTGTGATTGGTGAGCCGTGGCGTTATCGGGTGGCAATGATTGGTGGATTCAGCTGAGTCATGACGGTCCGGATATTCATTTTAATTCGAATCGGGTTAAAGCCCCAGGGATTGGAACGATGGCTCTGCTGCAGCAAAGATCTCTTGTTCACCATGGTTGTCGTCGGTCGACATTAATATCTGCAAGTATGACTGGGTCGGATAACCATTAGATAACATTTACCGAGGGAAAGGCCGTCCTGCGATTTCAAATTCAAAATTCAGACCTTCAACGCTTTTCTTTTTGGGCGCCCCGATCCACCCCGGGACTTTTCAGTACGTAATATGAAAAGACGAGGTCGGCAAGAAGCATGATCGCGACCCAATCAGCTGGGCCAGGCTTATCTCTGGTCGTCAGTGCCAATGAAGTTCATTTCACCATCAAGCAGGAACCAGAGCGACGGGCGAACATGACGTCCAACAACCGTGTATTCTGTTACGTGTGGGAAATCCTTCGTATGGAGAGTTCCGGAATGGGTGTCGCTGATCCAAACCATCTTTCATGATTTCTCTTATTGATCCTGATGACTACCACCGAAGCACGGCAGATGGACTTCATCTGGGTATACGATTCTATTACTTGATCAGATTTCGCCTTCCGTCACCCTCTCGGACGAACCCTCTTTACTTACTCCCTGCATCTCCCCCTTCGTCTACTTCTCGATTTTCTTCTCTCTCTCTCTCTCTCTTTTCGTTGTTCTCTCAGATTCAGGAATCCTGTTTGGAATCATTAGTGGATCGGATACCTTCTAGATGTGTTGATCGCGCGGACACGGTCCACTTTGCTGATATTGCGTGCTGCGAGAGAGAAACTCTGATACTATCAATTTTCTCATTCCAATTATAAGATTATCTTTTATCATTGACCATTATCAGTGATTTGATTCGCCTTTTGGATTCAATTATTTGATTTTCTTTGTCCACAAGCCAATCCCCCCCCAACCCCCAGATATCTGATATTGAATTACTGGTGACGATTATCTTTGGGCCTCCGGTTCCGCTCCCCGTTTTCTGTACTTACTTCCCTCCCCGACGTATCACCACTGCCCATTGCACCACGACATCTGGAAAGGAAGACTGCCTTCCCTTCAACTTGTCTTCTGATAAGCTTCTCCGCTACCGTTCGCACGTCCATTCAACCATTCCATTTTTAGTCGTCGACCATTGGTGGGCTCGTGGTCGATCGTCAGCCGGGCCTCACGGACGTGTGTACCTAGAAACACTAGATTCCTTCGTCGCCTCCAGACCGTCCTGAACCCCAGATAACCCAGTATCTTGGGGATCCTGGTCTGTGTCCCAGCTATTGCGGAGCTCCTTGGCGGAGTCCCCGACTGTCCCGGCTCCGTTACGTGACTGATTTCCCCTTTCGAGCCGTATCACGGCTCTTAATTCGTGAGAGATTATCTCCTATCTCTCGATCTCACCCTGCCCATTATCTATCTCTCTCCGTGCCCTTGTTGCCAGACTCCTTGCTGAATGGCTGCCGTTATCACGTTGCAGTCGTCCTCGACGACTGCGCCGGCAGCTTCTGCTGCTTCGTTCCAGCCGTCAGACCAACTACTTCGATCTCGGGTACAAAACCAACCGTCTCACCAACCAACCGCCACGCCTCTTTCGCCTTCCACATCCATTGCTGCCTTACCCCGAGTGCCTGGACCAGCTCGGGATGGGCAAAGTTGTGACGCCTGTCTGCGCAGAAAGAGTCGGTGTGCCATGAACGAAATGGTCAATAAATGCTACTCGTGCGATTTTCATCGTCAAGATTGCACATTTACCCTCTCCGTGACGAGTCTCCCGAGTCCGGCGGAGGTCCAGTCCAAAAAGCGAAAGCTTGATGATATTGTCCTGGATGATGTAGAATCGCCCAAGAGGTATGGATTGCCCCAGCCTTAAGTGGGCATCGAAGGCCGATCTCGGACGTCATATAGATAGACCTGGAGACACTAATCCTTTTCCCGCTGACAGACCTTCGACCAACCCCCCGGTTTCCAAAACTAACCTTGCCCATTCGCCATTGAACATCCAAGCCCGGATCACAGCAGGGTATTGCTATCAGCGAACCCAACACATCGGCTTGACCACCGACTTGGAACCCGCCCTCCTCGAATATCTCCCCTTGGACCAGAATCACGAAGGCATCATTGCGTCGTCCCGTGTACGAAAGTTCGGTGACGACGGCACCTTTATGCGGATGGTTAACACCTTGTCCCATGCGGACTCCCCGCAATCTGCCTCCCTAGATGCCATTGAGAGCCTAGTTGCCCCCTATGGCTCCACTTTGATTGATAAGTTTTTCGAACATATTCACCCAACCTTCCCCATTCTTATGGAAGATTCGTTTCGTCACTCTTACCGCGCTCGACAAGGCTTGTCGCCGCTTTTACTGTCCGCTGTCTACGTGCTAGCATTGAAATTTGTGGATGTGGGACCGGCTTCCCAGTCTGTACGACGACCAGATGCTGCTCGTCTGGAGAGCACGGCCTTGAAGCTACTAATCGAGTCTCTGCCCTATGCATCTATCTCCACCATCCAAGCGGGCGTGCTCCTGATGGAGAAGTCTACGATTGCCACACACGCGTTGAACGCGCAATTGGTCACCGCCGGCTTCGAGCTAGGGCTCCATCAGGATTGTTCTGGGTGGCGGATGGAGACCTGGGAGAAGGGTCTCCGGAAACGTCTTGCCTGGGCATTGTATATGCAGGACAAGTGGTCCGCGTTGGTACATGGTCGTCCGTCCCATATCGTATCCTTTAACTGGACGGTACAAGATCTAGTCGAACAAGATTTCGCCGAGGCATTCCCGACCCATGACTCTCAGGACGACGACTCCGTGGGTCACGGTCCCCTCTATTTCTGTCACATGGTCGCCTTGACGACAATCCTCTCCGACATCTTGGATCGCTTTTACACCTTGCGTGCGATCGAAGAGTTCAAAGCCGCCGGTGGCAACCGGACGCGTATGATCTTGGAACGCGCCAAACCAGCGCAGATCCGGCTAAAGGAATGGTTCGGACGTCTACCGGCAGAGCTGAAAATGGAGTCTGGCGGGGACCTTTTCGAAGTTATCAACGAGGACAATGCCCGTAACGGCGCCTTGCACCTGTCCTACTTCGCCACAGAAATCACTCTCCACCGCTGTATTGTCCGGTCTCTCTCCCCCAATACCGCCGATGCCTATTTGTCGCATATCTGCCGCTCTGCCGCCAAAACACGATTGATCTCGGCCATGGACTTCGTGAATCGGCTTCGCCCGCCGCATCTGAGGTCGTTCTGGCCGGCCGCATCGCGGACTAACTTCGCTCTGATCGGATCCTTCGGGGTCCTCCTTCGTATCACATCCCCAACCAAAGAGGAAGCAGAGTTCTATCGTCTCCGGCTCTGCGAGTACCGCTGGACGCTGAGCGTCAGCAAGAAGAACGCCGAGTTCATGGAGTTCGCTCTGGACAGCCTGGACAACGCCAACACGCTCGATCAGCATGTGCCCGAGAAACCGGGCATCGACGAGCTGATGACTAGCGCGGCCAAGCCGACTGTGACTCAACCCCATCCAGGCACAGCCACGCAGTTGGAAAACACGATTCTGGGAATGGATCACGGAAACGACAGTGGACGCGGGGGCACTTCGTCTGTTATATCAGGCCTAGCCTCTCCAGCAACATCAGTCAGCGGGGACAGTCTCCACGACGATGCAATTCCACCATTATAATCACCTTTTTACACCTACCTCCTTTTCCCTCCCTCACATAATCGTCGGACTTTAGCACCACCGACACCCCACGAATACCGTGTTGATGCATTGATGACCTCTTCCTGTTCTGTTATTAGATGTTGGGCGTACTGCGAGGTCTGGTTATCGATTGATACCTCTTGTTTTATTTTCTCTTGATGATCAACTGTTTGATTATGATCACATATCCCTGGATGGATGAATGGCTCTTTCAGCAAAGCTTGTACATATGGGATCAGGTTATGATGGATATAGACTGGATGGCGATCGGATAGATAGCATGAATTATGAGCATATTAATAGCCACACGAGCCATAATACATGTAAAAAGCAGACCTAGAGAGGTATGTAATGGTAGATAAACTACGATGGGGGGGTTTATCTCACAGAAGTATATTGGATAATCCATGTGCGAAGTTTCGCAAAAGCACGTCATCACATCATAGGCTAGCGACGGAACATACCTCCCTCACCTCCCCAACGAGATTGTGTCACTACCACTCTCTTATTGCCAATTGATCACCTCATACACAGGCGGACAGAGAGAAGTTTCACTTTCTAATATACCACCACTTCATTGAAAACTAACGCAATAGTGATCACAACCCCAGAAAGTACGAAAAATCATTCCCCCCATTTCCGAACGCAAAATCCTCCAATATCGTCGGGTCAACTAGATTAGCCAGAATCTCAGCCCGGGTATCAGGCTGAGCGTCTTGGTTAAAGAGCGAGAAAAGGAAATCCCCGTCTTCGCCCTGTGACGCCAACGGGGCCATATCCGTCCGGGTATGGACACTCTGGTCGTCATTTGCCTCTAGGCTCGATGAGTCGATGTTGGTGTCGGCATGAGGGGGTAAGATAGGTACAGCGGATACTGCTCGACGCCTTGCGACACAGGCGCGGGCTACGTCGAGGACTTCACGGATCATCTCGGAGCAGCGGCGAGCGACGACGATGTTGGTCATTGAGTCGAAGATTTCGAGGCTTTTCTCGACGTCCTTGAGCAGCTCTTCCTCGCTTATACCTGGGAAGTCGGAGAGGATTAGGTGGAGGAGGATCATGGCTCCGTAGAGGGCGTAGGTTGTGTTGTACCACCTTTTTTTTTGGTACTCTTAGTTTAGCAGGTTGGTAGAAATGGAAGCGGCGGGATTGATTACCAGGTTCGTATGTAGATTCTATGTAAGAATGATTCATATTGCATTTGGATGCTGGCTTTTGCTGCTGTTAGGCAGATATGGCCGTGCTGGAGTAGGTTGGGTGATTCGGTGATACATGTTGATGCTGCCAGGAAGGGACGATGTATGAGTATCCGCGTATTGTAGAATCCTGGAGGTAAATTGTACTTAAGTAGGTTGTTCCTGGGTGATTGTTGTTTGAAAGCTTTCAAGGAGCACTTACTCAGTCGTAAGACTAATTTCTGCTTGAACGCCCACTCCGAATCGTTGAGCGAGGCAACGTCTACGTTGAGAAAGGAGGGTAGGTTGGATTTCCACTCCTCTAATTTATTATCAAGGCTCATTGCAATCTGCGACATCTCGCTCGTATGGCGTTTCGGTGAATGGTAGAGCAGATGAGACGCCTCTGACATGATCTGCGCTAAAGCTACCATGACCGGTATCATGGCTACGTCGTCCTCCTCTGCCTCGGGGTCATGACTGCCACAGTTATTTGCCTATTGCTACATTGTGAGTCTTTGGTCTCTTATGGCTCGTTTTGATCGGAGCCTATACCTTTAATGGAGGTACAGTGACCTGGTAATGGTCAAGCTGCTTCATGCTATCCAGCCTCCCCGAGGAACAGCACATTTCGCTTCATTGCATATTAGTAGTATACCCTGATTATGTTTCTGAGAGACTCACACTTCATGTGAGTATATGCACCTATATAACTTAGTTCTGAGGCGCGAAAAGGACAACCAGGCGAGTACTCACCACCAGGTGCGTCGGCCTTCTTTGCGTATGCTTGGAGGCAGAGAGGACATTCCAGATGCCAATCCAATTGCAATCGCTGTTCTAACTGCCATTCCGCTATACATGAAGCAGCTGTGAGGCCGTAAAGCGTTCTGACAGAATACGCTCTAGCCATGTCCTACTAGTTAGATAAGAAATCAATCAAGCACAACAAACACTCGACTCACTAGGAGCAAGAGAGTCTGGGCACTCTCTAGGGAGCAGCTCTCGAATATATCCCCAAGGGCTTGTTTTGTGATGCCAAAGTAGAAATCAGCAAAATCCAAGGCTGACGGCTTCCCTGCAAAACTGTATTTTTGTCCGTCAGCCGAACAACTAGAATAATGATCCAGAAGAGAAGTCTCATTAGGGCTGGCATTGATGGCACCCAGGGCAACCACGGCGAAATATAAGCCTTTGAACTTCGATGACCGACGGCAGAATGCTCTTCGTTTCGAAGCTACGAAAGCTTCTTGTTCGCACCTTCGCATGAAGGCATTTTTACACAACATAGGGTGTATATAATGTTTGTTTGAAAAGTAGCTGCCGATGAAGATCTTCTCAATTTCAAGTTGTGCCTCGTCGGAGAGCTCATCGATAGCTAGCGCCACTGCATTTTCATTGTCTATCCCTCAGAGCCGGTTAGATTAGGGCCAGGTTGCCGTTAACACAAGTATTTTGTACTCACCAGCGATAGTTCGAGGCGGGATTCTTTGGTCCCCAACGGCTGAGGGTCGTCTATTTCCATCATCCTCAGGCCGCCCGTTGATCTGAGGTGGGGAGGTACTAGGATAACCTGGATTGTAAAGTAGGTTAACGATAGACAGCTGGGCCGCCCTCGTCGCAGGCTTTGCGTTTGTCGGTTCCTTGTCCACCGTCGGGTGAAGTGCTTGTTGAGGTGAGACATATTTCATACTCGACGGCTGGTCTGGCGCCAGACGACAGCCCCCTTCCGGAAGATTAGAAGACATATTCTCGGGTATGTTCGATGTTCTAGCTTCTGCCTGATTGCGAGCTCGCGCATATAGATTTCCAAAAAAAGCGAGATTCGAAGAGTTGCCATAGAATTCCGTGCCGTTGGTGTGTAAGTTGATTCCGCTTAGGCCGTCTCTAGATGCTGAATCATACACCTCCGGGGTGGTCCCTATAGTTACTCACTCAGTATGAGCTCTCTTTGAATAAAACTCATAAGGATGTAACATCTCACCGTCGAAGACATCATTCTCGTGTTTGGAACTAGGACGTCTGGGTGATGTAGCATTGCGGTTGATAGCTGTACGGGGTGCACGAGCTGCTTCTCCTGCAAGGAGATCCAGAGTACCACGGTGCTGCGAGGTCAATTGGTTGGGTGAACTCACTTCTGGCCACGGAGATGGTCGAGCATGATCTGTAGGTGCCCTAGCGGTATCGAAATGATTGTAAGGTCTTGAAGGCCGGAAAGGTATAGGGGAGAATTGCTAACCTTTGCACTCCCCTCGCTTGGGCATGTCTTTTAACTGTTGGTGTTGAGCTTTCATTTTGACCAGAAGCTCTGTAAACACAGTCAAGTGCGTGATCTATGATCTGCGTTAGCAGATTGTCCCTGACAAGGTGCATTCAATTCTTGGACTGTCCTAGCACGATCAAGAGGGGCAGCTTACAAGCACAGTAGGAGCATGGCTTTGCTTGGTCACACTATCATGACGCAATCAGCCCAGGTATCCATGACAGGGGAGTTCTAGTATACTAGCAGCGGTTGATTGGAAAATAAGGATACAGTACTTTCGTCTTGCGAACGCGACAGGTCTCGCAGGCACGTGAAGCACGTGGATGTCGTCGACGTGATGCGCGCAATTTTGCAGTTATCGCCTCGCCTCTGTTCATTATAAGTTTCGTTATACAGTCCGCTGGACGAGATTTTCATCAAGTGGTGGGTGCTCGAGATGATTGAATGGGCTCCACACTAACCTAGAATTTAGATTTAATTTATTTTCCCCGCCGAACCGATCGCCACCAGACAGCCAAGGAAGCTCTACACTTAGTAGCTATCTGGGGTACGATGGGTCCGGGGTTGTCTTTCAAATATTCATATCTATAACCACGAGAATCTGGCCAGCCTTCAAGTATGGCCTTCGTCTACAGTGGTGCTTCCTGAACGATTACAATTATGCTCTGCACCTTAGCACACATTACTGGACGACCCGGTCGGCTCAATTAGCATCATATATCAGCTCCTAGCTATCAAAGGATCAGGCAGGTTTTGATTTTCGAGAAGGCTGTCTCAATTTGTCCTCCGTCTCTACAACTGGCACAGGCATTCAACTAACGAATGGTGCATTGAACCGATACCTCATAGCGATGTCACCTGGATGAATCGGCTGTCGATCATTTTGGACTATAAATTCTCTAGCCGTGTCCCTTTACCAAATATATCTAAGATACTAATCGTTGTTAGTTCGTTTCTAGGATATGTATGAACCTCCGACGGATTCCCTACAACCACACCCGTTCCGACGGGTACTCTCAATGGGTGAAACAAAAGCTATCTTGTTGTTCCCAATCCATCTATTTGCTCTACAACGAGTTTGGTAATTGAAGCATACCTCTGGGGATCAAGTAACAACAAACTCGATTGATCTTGTAGTATGACATCTATGATCTGGTTGATTCGGAGTATCATAGCTACGGCCTGTGTAGGCGCTCGTTATGAATCAAGAAACATCAGGAACACCAATAAATAGCATACAATAAGCCCAGAATGAATATTTATAGCTCAAACTGAAGACATAGTATATAAGGAGTTCCACATGCGCGTATCTTTACATATCGGCGTTATCACCTTCATACAACCGATAAGACAATTGGACCTCTCCTATCTTATCCGTTGGGGTATATAGATAGATAACCGATCACTAATTGACCCGACTAGTTGGGAACCTTACTTCATGATTTCAGTAACAACCTTCCTGAAGAGTGTCAGATTCAGTCTATAAAACGCCTAATCAGGAAGGCGAACTCACACTGTGGCCGAGATCAAGATCCGACTCGGGTAGGGTTCCCCGACATACGACACTTTCCCCACATCTCCCCTCTTCTGGGGTGAGATCCTTCGAATGAAATTCGTATAGATATGGTCTAAACCTCGCATATTACCTAACAGACCGCTCGATCCCGAGAATAAGCGTGGAATATGGAGGCGGACGATATCCGAGTTCCGTCGGATAGGACGGAACAGCACGACTATAGACGTTGAATGACGCCGTGGAGATGGTAAGCTTATCAGATGATGCCCTGCTTCTTATCAAACCGGTAAGCAGTGCGGAGTAGGGGGATTTATAAGGCGTTGATGTCTGGTGATATACCATCACTGCTCAATCAATCACTTGTCCAGTACTAATCCTACCTAGCGTCAATATATATAATTACTATATCTTTTTTAAGTTTGGTTATAGCTTGCGTTATCGAACTAATAATCTACAAATGGGGTGGGACCAAGACGCCCTCAGGGCCCAATTCTGCCATGCGCTTTCGGAAATGTACAAGAGCGAGGTCCCCCTCTATGGTGATCTCGTAGATCTCGTCTGGAAGGCAGATGCCGAAGCCATCAACACCAGTCAGAAACAAGGAACCGCAGCGATTGACCCGGACGAGATCTTGCCGTTGCGAAACCGGGTCGAAAGACATGGGGCCATCCGGCTGGGTACCGCATACGAACTCTCCACGATTCGTCGTATGTTTGCAATCATGGGCATGTTTCCTGTGGGATACTACGACCTGAGTGCTGCCGGATTTCCGATGCATGCTACTGCTTTTCGTCCCTGGACAAAGGAAGCGTTATCCAAACACCCGTTTCGAGTGTTCACGACGGTTCTACGTATGGAGTTGTTGACGGAGAAGACCCGAGAGCTGGCGCAAAGAGCTCTACAGCAAAGGAATATCTTTACGGATCGTTTAGTCGCTCTCATTGAGCTGGCTGAAAAGCAAGGTCAGCTTAGTCCGACGGAGTGCAGAGAGTTTATCGTGGAAGGACTAGAGACGTTCCGGTGGCATTCCAAGGCCACTGTGACAATGGAGGAATATCAGACTCTAAAAGCTGAGCATCCACTGATTGCGGATGTTGTTTCCTTTCCCAGTTGTCATATTAACCATCTCACGCCTCGGACGATCGATATTGATCTAGTGCAGAAACTGATGCAGGACTATGGCATGCCGGCAAAGGAACGCATTGAAGGTCCCCCGCGACGACAGTGTCCGATCTTGCTCCGTCAGACAAGCTTCAAAGCATTGGAGGAGACTGTTTACTTCCGAGATACCCATGATGCTTATGTGCAAGGATCACATACAGCTCGGTTTGGAGAGGTTGAGCAGCGCGGATACGCTTTGACACGAAAAGGCCGCCAGCTTTACGACACAATATTGTCGCGGGTCAATACCGAGTCTGCTGAGAGACGTGTCAGTGCTTCTGAATATGAAAGCCTCCTGGTAAAATATTTCAAGGGGTTCCCGGACGACATGGCTCAGTTGCAGTCTCAGCAGCTGGCGTATTTTTGTTACCATTTAACGCCACACGGTCAAGAACCCGCGCAACTCGATCTGCAAGGGGGGAATGTGACCTTGGAACAGCTACTCAAGAATAATATTATCGAGTATGAGCCCGTCACGTATGAGGACTTTCTACCCTTGTCCGCCGGAGGTATCTTCAATTCGAATTTAGGAAGCACGTCCCAGTCAAAACAGCTTGTCATGGAAGCTGAAGCGGATTTGGATGGATTCCAACGTATGCTGGGGACGTCTATAATGGATGAGTTCCATCTCTATGCACAAATACAGCAGAGCAGCTTGGAAAACTGCCGGAAGCAATTGGGATTGGATGTGATTCTAGAGTAAGAGTACTTCAGAATGTGGCCACTAGACTTAGTTAATATCATTCCAATGTAAAGACGATAGTAGCGTCGCTCCCTCAACATCTTAGCGATAAGCAGTGGTTGATCATCGATGTGATCACTAATTCTCCGGTCGAAAACTATCGACGGATCCGCGCCACCGAACTGGCCAGAATCAGGGTCACTTGACGAAGCGTGCTTTCCTCCTTCAAAGGCCGGGGCGGAAATTAATAAAAGTAACTGGAATGAAGGCTTTCGGAACAAAGGAGAATGTGCCATCTGTTCCAAGTTGTGTCACCACAACAACAAAGTTCGACACTATGAGGTCTACAAATTTGGTCGAGAAAGTGATTAGAGAAGACTAAACTTTGGACTATTCCCACATCCGCGAAGAAAAGCCCGGCCGTTCATTGTCTATAGTCGTTTTATGGGTCTCTTTGCTCTCTCACCGCAATTGCAGACGAGCCCTAAATCCTTCCCGATGTGATCCGTCAAGCCTGAAAGTTATTCGCCTCCACTATGAACCCTCAACTAACGACGCGCATTTACTCAATAACGAGCAACTCAGCCTGCATAAACTATCGAGCTATATGGTTTTATATTTCCAATAATTGTATCTTACAATCCGACGTTTCCTCAGTGCTGGCTGACACAACACTGCCACCTTTATTCTCCCATGAGAGAAAAACACATATCCTTTGGATATTAAACCTGACTGACAGACGGCTAAGTCAATCTTACTTTGTAAACACTTTGCTATCTGCTGATATCTATATATATATATACCGTCAGCATGACTGCTTTTAGTAGCAGATGCCATTTATAGTCCTACAATGCTTCAGGTGGTTTACTCCAGTCAGATTATAACGGGCCCTTGCATGGCTGCTATGTCTCGGACTGTATGGTTAAAAGTTTATAAAAAAAAATATCGTATGCTTGGGCCCCAAAATCGGAAGACTGGGGCTTGTCCAGTATTATCTAAATGTAAGAGTATATCTAGGAGCATTCCTCTCTCACGTCCGGTAGGTATTCTCGATCATCTGGCAAGTCTTTGGTCTCTTCGGGCGAACCTAATATCCTCATTTCATTACAATGCGTTTATCTCTCGTAGGCTTTGTAGCCACGGCATATGCACAATTTGGCCCTCAGGCCAACCTCGACAGTTATGAGAAGCTAGGGCCGCTCTTGGGGAGCTCCTTCGGTGTCCCCGGCGCCGACGCGACCTTCGACTATGTGGTCGTGGGAGGTGGAACAGCTGGTCTGACTATTGCCAGTCGCCTGGCCCAGCGTGGGTCTAACCAGAGTGTTGCTGTCGTGGAGGCCGGCGGATTCTATGAAGTTGACAATGGCAATCTTTCTGTCGTCCCGGGCTATTGTACCTACTTCACAGGGTGGTCCCCCGACAACTACCAGCCGCTTGTCGACTGGGGCATCACCACTGAGCCACAGCCGGGGACCAGCAATCGCGCCCATCACTATCCACGTGGGAAGACCCTCGGGGGCAGTTCGGCCAGGAATTACATGCTGTATCAACGGCCTACATCAGACAGTATGCAGAAATGGGCAGATGAGGTAGGTGACCAGAGCTATACCTTTGCCAACATGCTCCCCTTCTTCAAGAAGTCTGGTCACTATACGCCTCCCGATCAAGCTGCCTATGCCAATATGTCCAACACTCAGGCCACAGATGCGTTCAGCCCTTCTGGGGGACCTCTTCAGATATCGTTCAGCAATGAAGTCGATCAATTTGGCACTTATGCGCGCAAAGCGTTTGTCGGTCTCGGTATGGACCAGATTGATGGGTTCAATAGTGGCAAGCTATTGGGGTCTGCGTATGCAACATCAACAATTGACCCGAAGAATGCACACCGTTCGTCGTCCGAGTCCAGCTTCCTGCAAGCCGCCCTCAATGAAGGCGCGGATTTGATGGTGTATAAGAACACCTTGGGACAAAAGATTCTCTTTGATTCAAACAATGTCGCTACCGGTGTTAAAGTCTCAACAGGTGGGACATTTGGCACCAGACCAGTTAACTTCACGTTAACCGCTCGCAAAGAAGTGATCCTGTCTGCAGGAGCGCTTCAATCTCCCCAGCTATTGATGGTCTCTGGGGTCGGTCCATGCGATGAATTCTCCGAATTCGGCATCCCTTGCATTAGCAACTTACCAGGCGTTGGCAAGAACATGCAAGACCACGTAATGTTTGGGTCCTCGCACCGTGTGAATGCTCAAACAGCCTCTGCATTCAGCAACACAACACTCGTAGAACAATTCACGCAGCAATACCTCCAGAATGCCACGGGGCCGCTCTCTATCTTCTCATCCAGCTACTATGGTTGGGAGAAGCTCCCAGAGCCGTACCGTTCCCAGCTATCAAATCAGTCAATCCAAGCCCTCGCTGCTGTTCCAAACGACTGGCCTGAAATTGAATTGCTTACCGTCGCTGCTTATCTTGGCGACGGCAGCAGCAGGAATACCGTCGATCCTGCAGATGGTTATAACTACGGCACGATCGCCACAGCTCTCGTTGCACCGCAATCGCGCGGGACGATCTCCCTGGCAGGACCAGATATGAACACCCTGCCCGTCGTTGACCCCCAGTGGTTGGTTGATCCCACGGACATGGAGCTAGCAATCCAGGGGTTCAAACGCGGTCGAGAGGTGTGGGAGAAGCTCGCTGAATTAGGAGTTGCCGATCCGGTAGAGCACTACCCAGGGACCAATGTCACGACTGATGAGCAAATTCGTGAGTTCATCAGCCGCACTTCAACGACTGTTTACCATGTCTCGGGTACCTGTAAGATGGGCCGCCAGGAGGATCCCATGGCCGTTCTGGATAGTGATGCGCGAGTTTACGGCGTACAGGGTCTGCGTGTCGTCGATGCAAGTAGCTTTCCTTTCCTACCACCAGGACACCCTCAGTCGGTGGTGTACGCTCTTGCAGAGAAGATTGCAGACGAGATTTTGAGCGCGCAGTAACGTTATGCCCTTTGAATTTTTAGACTGCACATATGGCGTTCGGTTGTATATGATTTGTATATTATTATATTATTGTCAGACCTAGTAATGATTAATTGATGTCCTTGGTTCATAATGTTGAAGCGAAAGTACTATCAATGTATGGCACACCACTTACTGTTGAACAGATTCTCTATCGCAACAACACTTCTCGGCTCGAGTTAAACATTCAAATTCCAATATAGAATACAATACAATGCACTATCCAATGTGCACAAAATCTATCTGTACATGTTGCCTCAATGCCCAATAAACAGATATCGAACAAGACCAAAAGATCATCGTGATCCATCCAGCCGTAGCCTGAAGTGCTGAACTCCAATGCAAATGTTTTCTCTACCCCTCCCCATCCTCCATTATTCATATTGAGTATCCTTCGAATGGAGAACCCACTTATGCCTTGACTTCCACATCCTGTCCATCCTCGACAACAACAGCACCCTCCTCCAGTAACTCCTCCGCAGTCTTCACTTTGACATCCATCACCCTCAGCAGGGTATACCGGTGCTTGCTGCGCACCTTTCTCACGTGTCGCTGTCTGCGCTTCGTCTTCTCCTTCACCCGCAATGGCTCCGAATCCACTCCCATAACACGCATTCGGCACTCAAACAGCCGCTCGTCGATGTACGGTGCCCCCTTGAGCGTAAACTCGCGAGATCCCAGAACAGACGCCCGGTTGAAACGAATGACATCCCCGGGCTTCACCTTGGGCATCAAGAAAGGGAGACGGAGGTGATCACCTTCAGTGAGAAGGTAGGGGTTGTCGTGGAGGTGAGCAGTGATGTAGTGTGGCTTTTGAGTCGTCAGGTACGGCAACTTCTCGAGAAGGGATTTGGTCACTTTTAACGGGGAGGTGAAGGTCGGAGCCACGGGGAGTTTGGAAGTTGGGATGGTATTCGACGGTGTGGAGGTGGATGGTTGTTGGCTGGGTGTGCTGGTCTGAGCGCGGGGGGTTGCGCTTAGTGGTTCTGAGGGCTGCTCAGGGTGTGATTGCGAGGTCGTGGTCGTCGTGGATGCTTGACGCAGACAGGCCCCGAAGGTGGTGTTGAGAGGCCGGGCGGACTGCTCGAATGGCAGTGCGAAGGCTCTGGCGAGCGCCGTTCGGGAAAACATTTTTGTGGTTGTTGCAGAATTTTTTGGCCGCCTCGTAATCCTGTACTTGTTTTTCCGGATTGGAAAAGACAAGACTAATGTCGCAATGGACGTGGTGGACAGTTCTTGTATCAGTCCGAACTTGAGGCCGCGAGAAATTCCAGTGGATCCCGATGTGGTTAGGCACGTGATGTGGCTGGTGCCAACGTTTTCTATGGCGATTGAGACTGATAGATTGGTTCCGAAATTGCAGGAGAGAAATAGGATCGAGGACTGGCTTTCTGAGAAAATACAACAAAATGCATGTATTAAACTGGGTTTGCTGTATACGAAGTTCTCTTGTTTGGAAGAGTGAAGTTTATGTCTGTATATCACGTGATTTATCGATACCAAGCCACTCTATCCGTGCATCGAACTTTTTCTACATCTCCGCCAACAGAGTTGATAATATCGGATCATCTCAACCCGTCGGTTTCTATTAATCATGGTACGTCTCTGACCTCCCAGACATGGCCAGATCGCTCGGCCGCCCATTAGAATGTCCCGAGTCACTCGGGCGCCGCTCTGGAAGACTTTGATAACGGATACTGGTAACTAACATTTCTTCCCAACTACAGCCTCAGAACGAGTTCGTCTTCCTGCCTCAGTCAACTGTTCTCCGTCACCCCAACATAATATACTGACCACTCCCAGGTATATCGAGCGCTGGCAAAAGCAGCACGGAAAGCGTCTTGACCATGACGAGCGAGTCCGCAAGCGCCAAGCCCGTGAAGTCCACCAGCAGTCCAAGGATGCCCAGAACTTGCGTGGTCTGAGGGCCAAGCTGTACCAGCAGAAGCGCCATGCCGAGAAGATCCAGATGAGGAAGCGCATCAAGGCGCAGGAGGAGAAGAATGTCAAGTCTTCCGCGCCTGACGAGCCATCCAAGACGCCTTTGCCCCAGTATCTGCTCGACCGTTCCCAGGCTACCAATGCCAAGGCACTTTCTAGCGCTATCAAGGATAAGCGTAAGGAACAGGCCGCCAAGTTCGCGGTGCCTCTGCCTAAGGTCAAGGGTATCAGTGAGGAGGAGATGTTCAAGGTTGTCAACACCGGAAAGAAGACGCATAAGAAGTCCTGGAAGAGAATGATCACGAAGCCCACTTTCGTCGGCAATGACTTCACCCGTGTGAATCCCAAGCGTGAACGTTTCATCAGACCCATGGGTTTGCGTTATAAGAAGGCCAACGTCACACAGTATGTTCTTCCCTCCTTTGCAAGGAATTGTTGCTGATGGTTGTTCCTATTTAGCCCCGAGCTGGGAGTCACTGTTCAACTACCCATTATTTCGGTTAAGAAAAACCCCCAGAACCCACTGTACACTTCTCTGGGTGTTTTGACCAAGGGAACGGTATGTTCTGCTTCTGTCCCGCCTTCCGGTGAAATGCTTGCTAATCCTAAGATAGATTGTCGAAGTGAACGTTTCGGAACTAGGCCTGGTAACAACCAGTGGACGCGTTGTCTGGGGTAAATACGCACAGATCAGTAACGTAAATATGCCTGGAACTGGTTTGAAAGGTGCAATCCGATATGCTAATCGTCTATCTAGAACCCTGAAAACGACGGCTGCGTCAACGCGTATGTTTCCCCAGCCTTGCTGCCCTTTTGACTACTTAGATTGCTAACTTTCGGTCCACAGTGTTCTCCTCGTTTAATCATTCTACGGTCGACGTTCATGAATCAGCCCCACCAATTACATTCTTCATCTTCGATACCATCTGATGTCATAGAATTTTTGTCTTTGGCTTTCCGTTCTTCCCTTACTCGCCGGCGGCGTTCGAGGCGCGCAATGTGTCATTTATCAAAAGTATCGTCTTGATCCATATCCGATTGCAATTGTATTGGAACATCATTTGCTGCAGTATATCTTCGTAGGCCTATTCTCCAGGTTATCAGTTCACGTACAGCCAGCCTTTCTATTGTGGCTCCACTCGAAGGCCCAGTGGTTGGATAGATCCTTGCCAGGCAGCAAACAAGGGTACCGACCAACCAAGCTGGCCACGTCGCCTGTTCGCTTCTATAGTAGTTGTCCTATGTATAAAGAAGCAGTCTCCCAACCAGGCAAAGCCCTGAGATCCAGCACCGAACCTCGCCACGCTCCTACTCAGCACGTGAGTCGTATACCCTTGCCCGCTAGTAGCAGCCAGGGTCAAGCCCTGCTGCTTCCCAACATATTAATCTCTTCATTTCCTTACGAAATCCCCTTCCTCCCATCTTTCTTGATCAGTCCTCTTTTGCTCTTCATCTTCCCCCCCCCCTCTAGGGCTAACTACACCACTCTATAAGATCATTGCCTGATCCAACTCCAACATGAAACTCCTCACCTACTTCTCTCTTCTCCTCGGCATCTCCACAACTACCGCCCTCGCCGCTCTCCGCCCAGATGCAACCCCCGACGAGGTCGCCGCGGTGGAAGCCGAGTGCGGATCCCTGGGCGTGATGAGGATTGACCCGGCAGAGCTGCCCGAGGGCATTACGATGGCCGACGTCCGCATGTGCGCCGAGCACCCCCTCGGCCCCGGGGCATACCCGGGTCCGGGTCCTGGGGTTTTCGCCAGGTTCCGTCAGTTCTTACCGAGTTGGGTGTTTTGAGAGGACGGCCCGGGAGCTGGGTCGAGGCCCTGTAGGCAGTCCGGTCTGGTTGCCTGCGCTGTGCGGTGGGAGCTGCCGTTTGGGAATGGAACTCTGGGAAATGTATGGTGTCGTTTGATGTTGATTGTTGGAACAAACTTGATTGATATATAGTCTAGCTGGAGGATAATATTCAGATATGACAATGTATAACATCAACGATAATGATAGTATTCATTACAGACCGATTATGTCGAGCTCTCTGAGGGCAAAGATTAGGGCTACAGTGTGTACAGGAACACAGGTTGACTTGCGTATACTATCTGATATCTTTGTGGTTTAGTTTTTGCTCATGATGCAGTATATATTTCTTCACGTCACCGACAGATATGGCACTTTGGCAGATACCTCACCGCCTGTATTCTCCCACTCGAAAGGGACATACCAAGAGCTAATACCTCGAGTAGTGTATGCTTATTCTAGTGTGAATGAGGCTACTTGGATGTGGATGTATTGCGGGGCAGTGCTGGTGGGGATTTATAAGTAACAAGAGATCTGTTGTGTAGGTAGGTCACGTATTACCCACACTAAAAAGCTCTGCGAGATAACACACAAGGCTATATTTGAATGAATGCTATTATATTCCAAGTATACTCAAACTCCCAACCCACGCTGAATTTACAGCTTCCAATGCATCCATGAGTGACAAAAGATCCATATACAATGCCCAAACGTGTCCTCAAAACACCAAGTCCGTGTACCCAAAAGGTAATATTATAGATCCAAGAAGTGCAAAACAAAGGAAATACTCCACGCTGGGCGGAACCAGTCCAATAGGCAGGCATGAACGCCGGATCGTCGGATCATTCAGGATATCAAACAAGAAATATTCGAGGGCCAACATAAACAAAAGAAATTAGTCGAGTCAAGTGTCATCATGCGTTCTCTTCCAATGCTGCTTTGATCTTTGCAAAAAATCCAGCAGGCCAAGCTGCGAGTTCTTCCTCCTTGGGGATGCCGCGCACCTTGCAGTGATTTACTACATTCACCAAAATCCTGTTGAGCATTTCCTGGGTGACGGGAACAGCTCCTTCAAGTTGCGCCTCAGGGTATAGGAATGGGTCCCTCTGAGCCAGGAGTTGATCCACGGTCGGTCGTAATGTCTGATCACGTTGCAAGCACCCCTTCAACGTTCGGATCAGTCCTGGGGGGATGAGCGCTCCTCCAACACCAAAGGCGGGGAAATCAATCTTGACATTTGGATTGGGGATGGCCAAGATGCGCTCATAGTATTTGGCGATCTTTGCAAAAGGAGGCTGACCATACACCATCTTATAGAGAATACAACCCAAGCTCCAGACGTCGCTCGGCTTACCAAGCTTCATCACTTTTCCAACGCTTGCCGGCAACCCGAGTGAGGCGTTCGAATCAACCAAAGCTTCTGGTGACATATAGTTTGGCGTACCAACTTGCTGTTCACGGTGTACGTTGACCGTATTGTCCTGGATGGCGTTCGCGATTCCGAAGTCGATCAGTTTCAGCCTCCCTTGTACAAGAAGGAAGTTTGCGGGCTTCAAGTCCGAATGAACAATGTTGTAGTTATGGACTGCTTGAACACACTCCAGCATCTCCTTCCAGTAATACCGAGTAAAGTTGATATCAAAAACAGCATCCTCGGCGTTGAGTCGGTATGTCAGTATCTTCTCTAGATCAGACTCTCCAATTTCCATGAGTACGCTGAGAGTATGTTTGTCGGAGTTCAACTCCCAGTCAAACAAGCGTACGACACGGTCCAGGTTTTCCAATTTCTTGAGTAGGTCAATTTCTCCCTTGTAGCCAGCCAATGTTACGGGATCGACATCCTCTAAGTTCACCCGTTTTAGGGCAAAAATCTTGTAGTTCTCAGCCATTACTCTATACACGCGCGAACTTCCGCCTCGGCCAATGCAGTCTAATCGCGTGAAGGCTTTGTGATTAACCGATACTTGATTGCGCTTTTTGCGGGATGAGGATGCGGTAGCCGCACCTCCTGTTGCTGTAGCAGTCTCAAGTACGGACATCTTTGGGGGGGGAGGGGCCGGTCTATGTGGGGTATTGTTGCTTCGAGTCGATAGGATCTTTCTGGGTGAATTTCCAGCTGGCGTTTCTAGGTTTTCTTTCCTTTCGTCCCCATGAGTCATTGAGAGCTTTTCTGGTTTGTCAAGCAAGTTAAACCCCTGTTGTTTCACACGTTTGAAGGTCGGTGGAGGCTCGTTCTCTTGATCGCGAGCTGCAGGTAGCGTGGGCGGAGGGGGAACTTTGAAAACAGGCTGATCCCTCGTGCTTGAAGGTTTGGATGATGACGCCTCTGATGATGAGCCAGGTGTCGATTTCGAGTATGACCCATAAGACTTGGGTGAAGAGGACCTCGAAAAGGGGCCCTCAGTCGCTGAAGTACCAGCAGCTTCATACGATCGATATCCTTCCGATCTATGTGGCGGGCTGGGTTCTGTTGCCCATGACACTTTGGGCGACGATGGCTTTGTCGTGCTTTTGTAATGATAGTCATCATTGTCATAGTTTCCATCAGGGTTTGACTCTTTGTAATTGTCTGGATCGTTGTTTTCTTCACTTTGCCGACGGAGTACGCCTCTTCTCGCTGGTCCATTCAGAAATGTTCCTGTAAGCCTTCCTACCCTTTTCACACGAAGCGAACTATGAATGCCCACATCCTCTCCATTCCGACTCCGCAATACAGACGCGGTGCCCAGACGTGGTGCGTAATCATCTTCATATTTTGCTCTCCTTCCATCTTCGAGGCGACTTGCGCTATCGTGTTCTTCAACAGAGCTCCTATCAGCCGATCGCCGTTGGGAGGGCGATATAGACGCGGGAGTTCGCGTGCCACTACGTGAGCCAGTGATGCGAACACTGCGATGCCTTGGAGCTGGCGTAACGAAATCATGCGAACTTCCCCTCGCTTCAGAGTCGGCATCCTCACCGCCTGAAACATGCGATCCTTCTCTTCGAAACCTTGCGCTGCTGGTCAAGCCAGGTCCAATGCGAACAACCCGAGGCGCCGGGCTCCCAGTCGACCGGTCGTTGGGAGATGCTGTGCGGGAGTGCCTCTCTTGGCTCGTTGATGCTGAAGCTACGCGATCGCTCTGATAACGACCACTTTGACCATTTTGGCGTAGGCGAGGAGAGAGGTCTAACCCATCTTCATCAAGCAAGGCTTTGACGGAAGCACTGAATTTGGGTTCTGGAACCTCGTCATCGGAGCTATCGCCGGCAGAGTAACGCTTGGACATTGATAGTTCATTGCTTCTAGGTGCGGCCGAATTCTGTAATTCCGGTGACGTGCGCCTGGAGCCGGTGCGAGACCCCGAGGCGCGGGACATTTGTCGGGATGACGGCTGTCGATGGAGACTACCCGTATGTGCTGCGGAGAGGGAGTTAGTGGAAGCCATCATAGCGATTCAAAGCGAGGCCACATGGACGCGTCCGCCAATGCGTCGGTCCCGCTGCCCAAGAAGTACAGGTAGGCGTTGGCCGCCAGGTTGTCGACTTTTACTTGTTGTGTATACCGGGCGGAGATCAACGTCCTCGAAGAAACAACGTTACGGGAGGCTGGGGAGCGGGTATTTTATCACGTGATGTGATGTTGCCACGGCAATGGTGGGATGACAACAAAGCATGGCCGTCATTTGCTGCAGTTGTACATACACATACACATCCATGTATCTTCTACATCATGGTGATACATCATGATCTACTTCTTGACTGGGCGTTTTGGTCCCTCGCGAGTCACAGAGCCGCTTCCATTTTGCCAAACATAGTGTATTCAAGTAGGACTGGGCATGGTTTATATGCCACGCCAAGTTACACCTGCTTCCTCAAATAAAGTACCTGAATTTTGCCACTACATAGGTTGAGTATGGCTCTACCATAAATTTACTCGCTTTTTCTGAGTTTCGGGAGTCAAACGTCAAAACAACCCTATTTAGATTAAATTTCATCTGAAACTCACCCTAAAACCTTCTCGGACGTGTTCTCGACGACCATGGATATCTCTACGTAATATGTTCGCTGCACACAGGAGGTTTAGCATGGAGCTAACACTCCAGGGGTGAAGCAGTAGTGCTGACTGCCCAACGCATGGCCGATTTCTTAGCTGCAAGTCAATTACCTAACTACCCTTGCTACATACAACTACTAGCTAACGTAGATATCACGAGTACGGAGTACTGTTCATGCATGTGTCTAATTAAACAATCATACGATGGTTACTTCACCCTCAGGTAAGTGGACATACTTTACGGCCAGTCTCGGCTTTCCTTCGGGAGCAATGGAAGTGATAGGTCCAATGAACATGTAGTTAGTTATCTTGTTTGTATAGTTGCCGGAGTTATTAATCGCTCGCGATTTGGTAATTGGAGATTCCCCAAGATAATGCAGCGTAGTATCCCGACATTGACCAAATGTCGGCATTTCCATGGGTTCGGAGAACTCTCTGCTACACACCATGCATGTTCGATGCATAAAGGGAAGGGTGCGCACAGAGTACATATACTAGTAGCATCAATCAGAGCTGGATACCACCGTGTTCAGGTACACTACTCTGTACATACGGAGTACATTGTTTTCAATGTGTCGAGTTTGAATGTGTAAAGTACGGAGTACAATCTAAATAGACCTGCATCTGACATAGATCACCTGAGTGTCACCTGCTTCGAAAAGCTAGAATGAACCCGACTAGTCGTCATCCAAGGATCTTTCCGACCTTCTTCTCCTGGCATCCAAGAAATTCCCTCCGTCACGGTAACTTGAGCTGATAAGGTTACAACCTTGAAGAACCTCTTGTCAACCATGACCGAACTCAGTTAATATGCCGAGATACGGATGTTAAAGTTTTCAAGGTTTCTTAGAATAGAGGGAAGAACGAGAGGGATCCAGTCCTAGCTGCAGGTGATGAAACTGCGAAGCCTCCGCGAGTCCTCCACTTTTGTTACAGAGTCGAACAAACGCTTGACTGAGCGCGATCTGAGCCTGGTTCCCATCGGTTAAGGCGGCCAAATGGGGCAGCTCAGGCCACTCAGAGGGGTGTGGGGCCTTAGGAACCAAGGCCACAAAAGCACATGGACGCATGGATCCAGGAACGCCCTTACTTGGGTAATGATCTCCAAAGGCAGGCTATCGAGAGGATTAGCATTCAACTGTTCTGGACTATGTCGGTGAATATGGCCTGGACCGCTGTAGGTCTCCTTTATCCTCGACAATTGAGAGTCTCTTCCACACTATCGGTTTCCTTCGACTCTCAACCACGAGTACGGGGAGTTCCTGTTTTTGAGGTCTCGACGGTCGACCAATGCTGGGAGGGTGAAGCAAGCCAAGACTCTTAGTCTCCAGCACCGCCGTCTTTGGTCCCTGACTAGTGCCCAAACTGGTAAGTCCATTCCACAATTTTCAGCTACACTCATGACCCTCAAGGAGACGGGGTTCTTTCTTCTTACGTGACTCCGTACGGGGAATCCTTTCGAAAGGAACTGACCTAGGTTTCACGGCGCCCACTCAACCCTAGGCTTTTTTTATTTATTTAATTTTTTTTTTGTTTTTCTAATGACGGTGTTCATTCCTTCCCTGGAGAATACAGTTGCTGCTATAATTGATCAGTGTCGTATTGACTAACACTCGCGATGACTCGATAGGCTCATAAGATCCTATCTACTTTTTATTTCATATGTGTATGTACTGCGTATGTACACCCGGGAGGAAAACCCGGTGATTTGCATCCGAACTCCCCCTCTCAGCAGGCGGTGTTTAAGCTTTATGCAACACATTAAAATTATATGAAGCACTCTAATACTGCATTGACCATGACGCTTTCCTGTCTCCATGGCCTTCTGCGTATCCAATCGCCGATGTATCTTGACTAGGACTGAACGAACCTCACGTCTTATGGTGCCTCGAGTCAATCAAAAGCTTATAGAGCAACAATCCGAGGGCAAAACACCGGTTGTGGTGATCATCCATGGGTCGACTCGGGGGTGGACCAGTTCTACGATTATCGTTTTCCTTGCCAAAAGGAGAGTGGGTGATCTTTCATTATTGGTCAATGTCAACAGAAAAGCCGCAGTATTCCGTATTCTGTTGACACTGCTTGCTGCTAGCCAACCCCTGGAGCAAGTTACTACACAGTACTATCTACAGCACATTATTATTATTATTTTTTTCTCTTTCTCGTTTTCTTTTTTACCCTTCTCCAACGCTTCCTTCTAGTGCATGAACTCCACCTGAGTCCACCATTGATTTTTGATTTTTTTTCTTTTCTTTTGAATTTCTGTTCTTTCCTCCGACTTCCGTCGACTCGTAATCTCCTACTCCCATGTTTCGGCGCTAATATGCTTTGAACGATTGAATCAATGGCTTCATCGTACTAGTTCATTTTTAGAATAGCCTGGGCTGAGGAATGGATTGAAAGGGCCTTTGGTCTGTGATCAGTACTATCCCACAGACTGCCGGGCTCTGGAGAATGCTGGGCAAGCTACCGAAGTATAGCCTGTGATCCAGACTGGCGACCCGCATGGTTCGGATTTCGAGTTAGCGAACCCCGTTGCCTGAAATAGTTTTCTCGTCCTGCTTGGTGTGTTTCGAAGGTTTCCACATTTGACGTTAGCTCAGTGCCATTTGCTTTCCCACTGGCAGTTAGGGATCCACCCGGCTAACTTGGCCTTGAAGATCCGGCACGATCACAGATACTCCAGTTACTCCCACTCTCCCAGGGGCCGTGTGCTAACTTCCAATGAGGGAAAACCGGGCTGGGGTGTGGTCTCCATCGCACAAGGTAGTAGTAACCATGGAAGCAGACGCCTCAGGGGTATATAAACCCCAGCGAAGATCACCTCTCTCTGGACATCAAGCCTTCGTCAATCGCTTCATTTGGTCTCTTCAGTCGGGGCCTGTCTTTCATTTTTTCTGTTTGATATTGTTCTTTCTTTTTACCAGTCTGTCGTTAACAAACTTTGGCTGCTACAGCCAGTCTTTTCTTTGATATTTTCTGCTTTCCTTCAAGAAGTCATCCGCCGACGTCTTCCTGGACTTGCATTCCACATTCGTTGCTATTCTAGCATAATGCGTGCTAACAACCTTCTGTTGCTCGCCGGCCTGGCGAGCTCCGTTGCTGCTTACCCCGCCGATATCGAGAGCCGTACTCTTGGCCCCCTTCTGGAAGGTATTGGCAAGGGTATTGTTGTTATTGGTGAGGGTGTTGGAGAGGAGATTGAGGATGTCACCAAGGGCTTGGCCGACTTGATCAGCCTCCTCTTCGGTGGCAGCAGTGCTCACACCACAGTAACCATCCTCGAGGGAATCAGCGCTCAGGCAGCCGCGGCCCTCCAAGGTGGTGCTTTGGGATGCACTGCTGGTACCATTCATGCCGACGCACGTGCAGAGTTGGTGGCATGGCTCCAGGCTCATGCTGAGTTCGATGCCTCCTTGAAGGCAGCCCTCGTGGCCTGGGCCCAGGGCGGAGCCTCTGCCACCTTGTCCGTGGATGTTTGTGCTGGACTGTCATTGTTCATCCCCACTTGTGCCGACATTGCCGCTAAGGGTGATTTGTATGTGACCCTTGACGGTATCTTCTCCGCAACCGATCTTTCTGCCGAAGTTGTGCTCAGCGCTTCGGCTCAGTCTTCCCTGTCTACCTTCCTCTCTGGACACCTTGGTGTTGGTCTCGATGTCGACATCAGGGCTGGTCTTGGCCTATGTGCTGGCGGCGGTCTTGTTGCCGATCTGGCCGCAGATGTTAAGGCTGCCCTGAAGGTTTGGCTTTCGGGCTCAGAGTGCACCTTGAGCCATTCGTTGAAGGTCTCTGTTCTGGCCTGGTTGGAGGGTAAGATCGAAACCGGTGTCGTCTCCATTGGCTCTCTTCCTTCTGGTGGTTTGGCAACTATCTCCGCTGGTGCTGCTATTGGCAGCCTCGTCGAAGAGTCTGGAATTCTGGTTGCCAGTGCTCAAGCTTCCCTCTCTGCCTTCCTCCAGACCGACATTGCTGCTGACCTTGAGGTTGAGATCCTCACGGCCCTCAAGGCTTGTGCTAAGGGTGGCCTCGCTGCTGATCTCAGCGTCGAAGTCCGTACCGCTTTGGCTATCTGGCTCTCTGGCTCCAGCTGCCGTCTTGGTGCCGAACTTAAGTCGGTTGTTCTGTTCTGGCTTACCTTTGCTGTTTCTGCCGATGTTGCAGTTGATGTGAGCGGTGGCCTTCTCACTGATATCACTTCTTTCCTCACCGGAACTGTTGACACCCTTATCGGTACCAACCTCCGTGGTGTGATCTCCGTTCTCATCTCTGGCCAGAGCCTCGTTTCCATTTCCATCGACGCTCGTGCTCAGCTCGCTGCCGTCTGTGGTGGTGCTGCCGGTGTTGAGATTGACACTCAGATTATCCTCATCCTCATTCAGTGGCTTTCTGGCTGCGACACTGGGTCTGGCGCCCCCATTCGCCCCCCTACTTCCGGCTCCGTTGTTCCCAGCATTCCCGCTTCTACGCCTGTTGCCTCTACTCCCGCTGCCTCAACTCCTGTTGTGCCGACTCCTGTCCCCACCAGTGCCGGTGCCACTGGAAGCAACGTTCCTTCCGTGCCCGCTGGCTCTGCCACTACCGGTGTTACTTCTGGTGTCAGCTCCGGCTCTGTTATCCCTACTCCTAGCGGCCCGGCTCCCAGCGATGAGGCCAGCAGCACTCCCTGCGAAACCATTACTTCTGAGACCGTCATTGGCAGCGCCACCACTGAGTATCCTTCCAGCCCTGTCCCCACTGATGTCAGCCCTACCGGTTCTGAGTCTGTGAGCGTTCCTGCTGTTCCTACTCCCAGCGGCCCTGCTCCCGGCGAAGAGGCCAGCAGCACTCC